TGGAATCACTGTTGGAAATTTGACTTTTAGTGGCGTTTAAAAAACACCACTATATCTATCAAAAACGCCGCTAATTCCTTTTGTGGCGTTTAGGACCAAACGTCGAAGATGCGGCCGTCACTGTAGCTTTGTGACGTTTTAAAAACGCCGTGATATTAGTATAGGAGGCGTTTTAAAAACGCCGCCAAATGTCCCATTGTACATGTGCTGACGTCACCAATGATATTTAGCGACGTTTTGGAAACGCCGTCATATCTGTTTAAAAAATTTGACCGCTGGTATTTAGGGTAGGAGGAATTTGTTAAAACGCCGCTATATTCGTTTTTTTTTTTTTATATTTTAAATTGTGCTAATTTTATTTGATTGAATTAAAAAAATACCTGTAATAAAACTAACATATAAAATATTAACTCCCATTCAAATAACAAATGAAACATTAATTCGATTTCTCATTCACTTAATATCCAATCACCATTACCCACAAAATAACATATCCAAAATCCAAAAATCATGGTTTAACATTTACCACAAACTAACATTATATCCAAAAATCATGTTTTAGCATAAAAGCTGTAGTCATCACTAGTCTACATGCCTGCATTAGAACATAAACTGCAATCAGATTCACCAAAATAAACAAAATTGAAGAATTTGTACCCAATATTTATAAACAACACTTAAAATTTGAAGAAGCACTAACAAGAAGATTTTATCACATACCAAGAAGCACTACAATTCCAAGAATATAAATGCAAAGAAGCACTATAACTATGCCTCAAGGATGAAGATTTTAATCCTTAGAAAATTATATTGTCCTACTTGATACTTCTTTCTACTAATTATGTCAGATAAATGAAATACCAGCAATCATAAAACTAGTATAATATCTAGCTTTTTAGCACCTAAATAGATAGAAATGCATGCCCACATTATATCTTATATTACATAATACAGTGTTCCATGCACATGGACATTGAAGACAATAACTGACAAAGAAAACCTATGCAGGGAAGCTCCAAGAAACTGACACCAGTAAAACCATAAGCTTTTTAACTGAAGCAATTATCTCAAAATGTACCACTGTTTATTCCAATAGTCAATTAACAGAAGCAGCTACAAAAATAAACTATAAGCTTTTTAAGCTGCTTGGGAATAATTCACACATTAATATATATGTATATATATTCATAAATTTCACAATTTTAGATGACAATCCCCAGGATTGAAACCCCAATTATCCATTCCAGCATCCATGTTTCTCAGGAAACAAACAGCACAAAACTTTTCCAGTTAAACAATAAGAAGAAAAATGATTTGAACAAATATTTGATCACCATACAATCTAGGAAGTTCTAATTCCACAACCAAATAAAAAAAACCTAATTCCATACCAGAACCCCAAATTTTCACCAGATACTGAAATATATACAGATCTTTATATGCATATTGTATGTGATTGGTATCAGGATAGAAGGATTACTTAGTTACAGAGTCAAATCGAAACAACGGAATCGAAGCGTGTTGGTCGCGATCACAGAAAAAGCAGAGAAATAGAGTTGACTCGGATGCGTTGCTCTGTGTAGTATTCAGTGCAATTTCATTGCTCTGTGTTAGGTAGACTTCGGTGGTATTGGAATGAAAAACAATGAATTAGAGGCTGCGATATATTACCAAGGCCATGTTTGGGCAAATCGAATTAAATAGGTTTATCCTTTTTATGATTGGTAGTTTTAGAATTATCTATTCTTTTATTTGTTGAATTGACTCACTATTAAACATTAAGCAAACATCATGTCTTAATAGATTTAGAAAAGTGAGAAATTAAAAACTAGTGATGTTAGTACTTTTACCTTGTTAGTTCTTCTTCTTCTTCTCTTTCTTTGAAAGGTGAACGAACCTATATTTAATAAGAACAAGTATTGTAATTAATAAGATATGGTATTTGTCCAAAATTTTTTGATTAAATGATTGCTCACCTCTTGAGATGAAAATGCATGAGATTATTGTTGATGTGACATTGGCCGAATAGTGGGATGACTACTAAGTGAATCCACAATCTATCATTCAATAAGAGGCTTAAGTTGTATATTAGCTCTAGGCAATTTAAAGTAATAACTAGTAAAAATAATTAAAATACATGTTGCCTATGTAATGGGTTTGTAGTTGTATTATGCAAGTGGATTGAATACAATAATAAATTAAAAGCTCCCAATGAACCCCCTATATTGAAACAAATGAAATAGAAATATGTTCCAGTATTTGTATTCATCAAAATCACTAAGCCTGTTTGGATCATGGAATTACGCAGGTACTTGGAAAGGAAAAAAAAAAAAGATCCCGGTTCTTACCTTATCAAGTGACCTAGCAAGCGCTCTCATGTCATAATTTGTATGTGCATAGGATACCAACTTCAGCCACACAACACATGCAAAGAGCATTAATGTGATGCCAGATAGAACAACAGAATCATACCTGTAGGATTTCAAATCACAGCCATGAACTCTTCAATGGCATCACATGAAGTAATTTGCCAGTTTTCTGGCTTCCTACAAACAATATATATTTTCTATTATTTCTAATTTCTCATTCTTTGTTGCACTCCCCTAGCACATCACCAATCTATTGGACAATAAAAGCCCAACAATCTATGCCAAAGATTTGTACCAAAAACCATCAATCCATCTGAGATGCCAAGACATTAACCAAAAAGGCTTGCATGAAGCCATTAAATCAAGCACAGCTCACGGTTAAAGCTTTTATCAAAATTCTGTTATATATTGATTGTTTGGAAATTAGGAAGGAATGCTCATTCTTGCATTTAATTACATAAATCATGCAATCTTTTGAGGAAAATGATATCCTTACAAAATTTTCAACAAGAATGATGTGGTAGCATTTTGGAAAATATGTCACTTTGATGGGTCTTTTTGTTTAAAATGATAAAATTAAGGCTTACCACATCATTCTATATTAATTTTACATGCAAAATTTTGGTTTGCATATCACTACTCATCTATATAAGTCAAACAAATAACAGAGTTCAACTAGAATTTACTGACACACATTCTTGGGTGACAGTGACGAGAGACAAATCATAGCATCGACCCAATTGCACAGCGTCAATCAAAGTTTAATGCAGCAAATTGCTAAGTGTTGTTTGCTTTTGTATTTTGATGCTAGAAATAAAACAAAATACCAAATGAAAAAGAAAGTAAGGGACAAACTAACCTGAGGATCACAAAAGCTGGAAATAGAACTGTAGCTATCGTTATTAATATGTGAAGGCTGACAACCACCTGTAATATTTTGATTAGAAGTGACCAACTCTAGAGTTCAAGGGCTTGAAACATCAATTCATAATCCTCAGTTATTATGGCAAGTTTACAAGCAACAACCAAAGAAACTCTATGCATTTATGACTTCCAACAGAGAGCTTTCAGAGTTTGTAATCAATAAAAATCAAATAAAAGTTTCTAGACATGTCTACTCCCAACATTCAAAATCTGATAGTTGTTTCCATAATTACTATTCCAATGTGAAGTATTATCCTTTTAGTCTTAGTCCATGAGGAAAACATGACAGCAAAACAAAATGGAAAATAATGAAACATGATAGCAGTGGGGAGTGGGTATTTGTCTGCGGCACCTACATGTCAAGCAGCACAACAATTTCATGCATCTCACAAGAAAATCTCAAATAAGTTTTCGAAAGTGAAAAAGGGAGCAAGCACCAAAGCCATGTGCTAGGAAAACAACAGGCCAAAGAAAAAAGAAAGAAAAATAATATGAGCTTTCAGAGTTTGTAATCAATAAAAATCAAATAAAAGTTTCTAGACATGTCTACTCCCAACATTCAAAATCTGATAGTTGTTTCCATAATTACTATTCCAATGCGAAGTATTATCCTTTTAGTCTTAGTCCATGAGGAAAACATGACAGCAAAACAAAATGGAAAATAATGAAACATGATAGCAGTGGGGAGTGGGTATTTGTCTGCGGCACCTACATGTCAGGCAGCACAACAATTTCATGCATCTCACAAGAAAATCTCAAATAAGTTTTCGAAAGTGAAAAGGGGAGCAAGCACCAAAGCCATGTGCTAAGAAAACAACAGGCCAAAGAAAAAAGAAAGAAAAATAATATATTCAAAAATCATGGACCTACTTTTCAACCTTATTTATGCTACCATGATTCAATATAAACACTTTTACATTTTCTAGAGGCTAAGCTCCCATATAACAAGCGAGGTTTGGCAACAGACATTATAATATGAGTCATATGACTAAGATTAATTATCCCAATTAAAGACCAACTCATGGAGAATTTCATTCCAATATTTTATCAAGTTCCATATGTTTCACAGAGAAAATTGGGAAAGCTAGTGAAGTGAAGATAGATTAAAGATAGTGTAATTTCTGTTCAATACTTCAATGTTATCTGCTAAATAATTTGTAGTAATGAAAAATTACAAGTATTTTTAAATAATTAATTAAGATCAGCACCTTACTGATGATTCTAACAAAGTATAGCCCAGAAATGTCCGATGCCAAGGCAAAACTTATTGTGTTTCCTTAAGAAATTTAAAAGCCAGTTTATTGCTTTTTTCAATTACATGTGACCGGACATTATGAGTATATCAGTATATTTTCTGTTCAATACTTCAATGTTAGCAGATGAATGGTTCATATTAATGAAAAAGTACATAATTTATTTGTACATAGTTATTTCCTGATGATTCTAACAAAGTATGGTCTGGACTTATCCGAATGAAAACTTAACAGTGTTCCCCTCAAGGAATTTACATAGTTGAATTACATGTAACCAGGCATCATGAGTATTTTCTATTTTCGATTTTGTTATTTGAGTTAAGTAATTCAATAGATAATACCATTAGGTTAAAGCATGTTGGGAAGGGAGAGAGAGAGAGAGAGAGTTTAAAGCTTTCGGCATCAAGCACATGTATTGTTTAAGCTTGCATATATAAAGATGAAACCATCCAGTAATGCATCTGATGATTCTCACGAAATGTGAGGAGACACGTACCTCACATTCTCACGAAATGTGGATAGATCCCATAGATCTTCTGTTGAGAGAAAGTTCCCCTGTAATTACCACTGTTGCTGTTATACATTTAAAGGCATTTCCTATAGCACCACGGCTGCATCAGAACAAGTACCTGGTCCTTAGCTTTATCTGTTTGTTCCTGCTAAATAACTTTTTGAAGCCCTTCTTTTGACATCTGACGCTGGTACACCTGCAGAAGATCAGATCTTAAAAACAACAAAGACAAATCACGCATCAAGTTCTCAAACTGCAACAAAAGTGGTAATAACATTAAATAAATTATTGATGTGTCAAAACCTTTTCTTCAATGGTTCTAGTACTCAAAAATCTATAGATATACACTCGCTTTTTTTGTCCATCTCTCCAGACTCTTGCAGCAGCCTGCATGAGTCAAAAAATAATAATAATAATAATAAAAGACAAAAGCACAGAAGCCATGGAAAATCAATAGGGTTATTTCTTTTTTGAAACACGTCAAGGTCCTGTACGAAAATTTAGGAAAAGTAATTACTTGTTTGTCATTGGCAGGATTCCAATCAGGGTCAAATAAGACCAGTCGATTCCCACCTATCAAATTGAGGCCACAACCACCAGCCTTGCTGCTTAGGAGAAAGACAAACTCATTTTGACAGATGTAAATTGAACTTGTTTCATCAAGTCAGCTCACATAGTTGCATATTCAATTAATGGACCAAAAATTATGTACCTTAGATGGATCATTAAAGCGGTTCACTAACTTTTTCCTTTTACTGATTGATGTAGTTCCACCAAGCCTTAGGAACAGATATCTTCTCTCCCGACACAATTGAGCAAAAGGTCCAGTGTCTGACGAATTAAAACTAAGTTATTTAACACCAAACAAAACCAAAAATAATAATAACAATAATCTTATGGGAAAAGAAGTGCCACAAGTAATTGCCTAATGGACAGGATACATAACCAAATAGCTTGCATAGCAGTAAACATTCTCATAAGCAGAAGAAAAAAAAAATCAATTTCACTGTGAGAACATTTTCCTGAGTTCTTTTTTGGGAGCGCGAAAACTACAGCATCCAAATAGTTCCCACATGGCTGCAGCTTCTCAAGAACTATGTGTTTTATGTGAGACAAAAGCTAAGGCAACAATACATTGTTTGATTTGTACTTCAAACTAACCAGTTACTTTAGTTGGCAAGAATCAATCTAAGAACTACCTGTGTGTAGTTTGAGACCAAGACAATTCGATCATCTGCTCTCCGGTGCAGCTGAGAGAGAAACCGGGCTAAGCCATGCATTTTTCCAGATAATTCAACCCAAACCCCCTCGCCACCAGTCCAAGATCCAGATCTAACAGAATAGATAGAACTCCAAGATATCAAAAATATTGGAAAAGAATTTCAGAAATGTAAACCAAAGGAAATATGGAAGCAATGACTTACCTTCCAGAGAACATTTCTGGAGGGAAAAAGCGCAAACAGTCCTCAAAGCAGGTGAACAAAAAAAAAAAATTAGACATCAAAAGCATTAGTGGAATCTAAAATCCAAGTAAATACAAAGCATGGTAGTCTCTTCTATGGCTTGGACATGAGTGAAAAAAGCCCCACAAAATATCCTTTAAACTGTGATCAACATTCTTTTAATAGCCAATGACCATCATGCATGCACCAAATTCAACCCATGAATTGCAAATTCTTAAAGGTGATCCATATCTTTGGAAAGTTTGTCTATAGTTTCCCATTTATGTCTAAAACCCAGGGGAAAAAGGAGCCAAAAAAAAAAAAAAAAGAAATCTAACAGAGAACAAGAAATGGAGAACTTCAACTTGAGCTTGGCATATAAACAAACACGTTATATACACAAATAAATCCAAATATACATACACACAAGATTTGAAGGTAGAGAAAATGAACATATTGGAGATCTGTACCTCAAGCTAAAGAGAATCTTGAAAAAGGAAAGTAAATGTATATATGGGTAAGTGTATATTCAGAGATCTTTCAACTTTTTCAACATAACAGATCAGAAAAGGATGTGTTTAGACACAAATCAACTTCTCATCCTCCTCTCTGTCCCCTCTCTCTCTCTCTCTCTCTCTCTCTCTCTCACATTTGGACTTGAAGCAAATACTTAAATCTAGTTCAACGAAGCAGAGAGTGAAGAAAAGAAGAAAAGGATGTGTTCAGACACAAACCAACTTGTAGTTTCTTTCTTACAATTTCAATTTCAATAACCAAATCGAGAGAGACAAGAAGGAAGAGCTTGAGAGAGAGAGAGAGTGAGAGAAATCGATACCTCGCTGGTGCAAATGGCGGTGGCGGTGGCGGTACAGATGGTGGTGGCGGTGGAGCTTCGAAATCGAAATTGCAATTACAGATGCAGATGAAATCGAAATCAGAGAAATCGAGCCGGTGCAGACGGTGGTGGCGGTGGAGCTTCGAAATCGAAATCGCTCTGAATCTCAAAGACGAATCTGTGAGAATGATCTCAGATTCAAAATAAGCTTTGAAATTGAGAGAGAATCACCGAAACATAGATTTCGAAATCGAGAGAGAGAACTTTGATTAGGGCTACAGTGAGAGATGAATCGATCCGTTGAGACGGTTTAGAGAGAGAACGAGAGAGAGAGAGTTTGTGAGTGAGACATTAGGGATACAAAATGTATTATATTTGATATTCACCACTCGACCATTTGAGAGAGAGAGATAGGACATTCGAAGGCCCTTTCAAACGCCTTTGGTTATTGAAATGATGCCGTTTTGATTTTAAAAAAAGCGACGTTTAAAAAATGCCGTTAAATAAACGTCGCCAAAACTCATTTTTCTTGTAGTGAATGGAAAAAAAAGGACGAGGTATGTATGCGTTTACTAGGCATTCCAAGCTCATGGTGTTTCATGCCAGGTATTGAAGACTATTACCTGGTCGAAGATGAAGTTGGAGCATTTGAAGACGTATGATTATCTTAGAAGAATTAGGAATTAGTTTTGTTGAATCCCATTTTGTAATCCTGTTTGGAATTGTAACATTTAAATTCTTGATGTAATGAAAACTTATCTCTTGTAACTAATATTTTACTTTATTTATACATATCTTTTGTAACCTATCCTTATTTTTCGTCAATTTATGTAGACCTTGTGTTAATACCGTGTTAAGATTTGTCAAAAAATGTAGCTTTACTATCTAAGGAGTTGGACTTTGAAAGGAGACTATATTGACTCCTCCAATCTTTCCTGAGATATTACTTGGTTATTGACCAAACGACTCATTAGTGACGTTTCCTAGACTTCATCCTTAGAGTAAATCTTAGAGCGCTACACTTGTAACCGTAGAAAACTCATGTATTTATTTGTTAATATATTCTTTGATGTTCTCGATTTTTGGGGCGTCACAAAATTAGTTCATTATACAACTTACTTTAAATTCCTCTGATTAAGGCTTTTTCAAAGTTATGCCATCTATTATCCATGACACATGTTAACACAGGAATGTCTTTTCCACCTAAAAATAAAGGACATATACTAACTCGTATAAGTCCTAAATGAACGTAATTATATTTTTAATTATGATATTATTTAATCTTTTCGATATTTAACAATGGTATATATACAAATGTTTCTTTTGTATTACCAACTGAAATTCTTCCTTCAAAAATTTCTACATTCAGTTTGCTTCGAGGTTTGAAGATTGAGTTTTTATGAATTTTCTTAATTGGAATTTTTGGCATTTTCCAATCGTTTACGGAAAATCATTGTTCTTCAATTTCAAATGATTCACTTTCTCTTAACTTAGGAAGGATCATTTTATTCTCATTATCTGAATCTATTTTCATCATAAAATAGTTCCAGTTAAAGTTTCTTCTAAGCTTTGTCCATCAATTCCATCAAGACGCTCGATTCCTTATTTGGTTTCAATTTTAACTCTAGAATTGAAAATGTGTACCAACCAAAAACTCGTAAACTGTGATCGAACCCAGGAACTCAGGAATCATTTCCAAAGCCCTAATAATAATTAATTAACTCCCTAATTGTGGATTTATTGCTCAAAACCCTAGGTTTCTGGCTCTTGTTACGATTCACCGTTTAATTCAAAACGAAGAAACTTTAATCGAATTGAATTCCCAAATACTAATTTAATTAAATACTACACTTAAATAAATGTTCAAATTCATAAATTAAGGCCTTAGCCCTCACATTTTACTTGAATTATAAATTGACCACAAGATAATATGATTATATATATACATATACTTGTACCAATGTGTAGACGTGCCCAAACGTCCTGGCTCCGCGCGCGAAAATGGCGCGAAATCCGTTTTGTTCATTAGCTACTATAGTTCGGACTCAAATGTCACGGTTCTGAATCTAATCTCGCAAAGTGCAATGCAAGACCGATAAATCACCAAAGAATCCAAATCCGGCAAATCGTTTTGGAAAACTGATTTTTGTAAAGAAGTGTCAAACATGGACTGCTTTGCCAGATACAGAGTCGCCACCTAAATGTTTTATTTTTGGAGAAATTTAGGAAACCCTGACTCATCCCTAAGGCCACGTGTCTGTCATCACCAAAGTTGTCTCGGCTCGGGAACTTGGGTACGAGAGGGGAAGGTCATGAAATGAGCACCCCCGCTCGCCCGATCAAAGGATTGGCCTTTACTAAGCATGATATTTTGTTTTTGAAGACACATGTGTTCTTATTCTGGTTTATTAGCTAGAATTACTATGTGATGCGCACAACATACAAGTATAGACTAGATCGCCTAAGTCAGAACAAAACATCTCATGTTTGTTTGTTTGAAAGTGGTTTGAAGGTGCTACTCGCAAGTAGGCTAAGACGTGGATTTTGCCACCCTCAAGGGGGCTTAGAAAACATGATTTTGCCACTCCGCAAAGTGGGCTTAAAACTCGCATTTCAATGAATTGTTCCAATTCAAGCAATTCAATCTTCACTCACAGGCATTCAGGCAGTTATATCAGTTAAGCAAATAGCCTCATGGCAAGCATGCTATCATGGCAATCACTCACACACATGCAAGATGCTAAAGCATAAAAGCTTACCTAGTACTCCGAGCCAAAACAATAGCTAGTTAGTAATCAATGGATGATCCTAGCTATGTTAAGATGCCTAATGCAACACATGCAAAATGCAACTAGAAATAGGCTCGGCTATTCTAAAATGGCATATGAGATGCAACTTGATAATCATATATTCAAGTAGGAATTGAAATACAATGCAGTTGGTATGATGCGCTGAGCCCGGTGCATGCAAGACAGATGAATGAATGCAAACATGCAAACATAAGGATGCTAATCGAAATATGCCCTAAACTAACCATCGTAAGCGGCTAAGTAAAAGGGAGAAAGAAATGGGGGTTGGAAGACATGTATCACACACACGCACGCTTATTACAAAATTTACCTTCTCGACGGAGAGTCCGAATGAAAAATGCAAGCTAGCTACGCTAAGCTATTCTAACTAATCTAATAATCTAATTAGACTAATTATAACATAACCCAATTGGAAATTAGCTACAACTAATTATTACAAATTAACTAACTATACAAAGCAATTAAAACGGCCTCGAGAAGAGGGACAAATGCATGCTTGGTCGGCTTCGCTCGGAAATCCATTGCCATGCCTCATGTTGCCTCTGTTTGCACTGTTTTGCACCTCTGAAAACTGTACATATCTTTGTGATGCTTCTAAACCACCTCATGGACATGTTGAGAGGCCATCGGCCAAGGGAA